CCGTCTGGATGTGATCCTGGGCAATATGCTCTAGGTGACCCTGCTTGAGCAGGGAGGTTGGACTAGATGATCTCCAGAGGTCCCTTCCAACCTCAACGATTCTGTGAAACATTTTTACAGGCTGAGATGTACAACCAGTCTATACAGATTATTAAAAGGCATCATTCAAAGCATGCATGTGTAAAGTTGGTTTTTAAAAAAATCTAATGCAATGGAGGCCAAAGGTGTACTAGGAGTACAGAAAAAAAGTGTTAATATTTCTCGCACTAAATAGGGAAGATCGAGTTGGTATTCTTTTGACCACTGTCTTTCATATATATATGAATGTATTTGTCAGCCACAACACAGTTATAATTTCCCAGAGGAGATGGGGAATGGTTGTATGACGATCAGATGTGTTTTTAAAAAGCTACGTATTGACGCTTTGTCTGCTCACAGCCCAACAAATTATAAAGTTTTTCTGCTGGAAGGAAAAGGGTGGTTAGCAGCCCATGCTTGGTGGAGGGCCATCATGTCATGAGTGCTGCACACAGAGCTCCCATCTCCTCCTCCGGAATACATTTGAAGATGCTTGAATAGAAATAATCCAAAAGGTGTGGACAAGTTTGGCTGCTGTTTTGGAGAAAAAGCGACTGTCATGCTATCGCCCTTCTTACACGTAGCAGTATTAGTATAACAAGTTCAGTAATGACTCAGGTGTTTACTGATGAAACGTTAACAGCATGTACTCAGCATGCACTATGTCATTGGGTTTCTTTAGAGACCTCTTATCTAAAACTCTAATCTAGTCTTGACACGTTAACAACTGAGCAAGACTGGACTTATATTGGAACCACATAACCACTAACTTTTGTAAACTTGCTTTATAAATGCACTAATTTTTTGCTTTTTTTTGTCCTGCAGGATCCAGAAGTTATGGTTGCATTCCAAGATGTTGCCCAGAACCCGGCAAATATGTCCAAGTACCAGAATAACCCCAAGGTCATGAATCTCATCAGTAAATTGTCTGCCAAATTCGGCAGTAAGCCGTAAAATCCCTGGTTCTTAAAAATCATATCTCAGTGGGAAGGATTGATTTGGTTAACCAGTGTTGCAATAAAACAAACCATTTTACCTCTGATCCTCTTAAGAAGAGAAATGGGGTGTTCTAAGGAGAATAGCTCTCTAGCCCCATGTGTTGAACTTACTCATGATTGGTTTATAGCACTCAAATTATATTCAAATAGCATACACTTTCAACCATCCCTCCTTACCTAAGAGTTTGCAACCTTTTCTTTAAGTATTAAAGACAGTTTCCTCTGAATGAAGACTCTTGTAAGAAATTGTAATGTTCCTGGGGTGTAAGATACAACCTCTTATAGTTTTGGGGTTTTTTTATTCTCTGTGAGCAAAGAGGAAAGAACTTTAGACAGATGAAGTCTGTCTTGCCCACTTAGGACAGAAAAGTTGATCTAGTTATAAATAGCAAAGGTGAGACAAGTCTGAAGAATTAACTGGATAAAGGAATTCTCTGCAAATGCAAGTCCTTATTTTTTTAAATGAGTGACTGTCTTTATATAGCTATTAAAAAATTATCGATATAACCATGCTAGCTAGTTATACACTGGAACTTCTGGCAGTGCTGCAAATAATTTATATTTTGATTACCACAACTGTGCAGCAAAGGTGCAGCCCTATCCTTTGCACAACCTCGCATGAAATACATATTGCAGATGCCACAGAGGTTTTGTTGCTTGCTCAATTCTTGTCCGGCACCTTTGTGTAACATTTTATTTATCAAGTTGCTTATGGAAGAGCAGGTTACTGTCTGTACTTGCGCTCATATCCTTTCCCAATTGGCAGGTCCTCAGCTGGTTGCACTCACCTTTCCTGGGGCTGTGCTTACCGGGTTTCATCTATTTGGAAATTTTAGGGGAAGAATCTTGTTCCTATCACTACCTCTGTCCTGTTGAATGCAAGCCATCCAGAACATGTAAATACAGAGTTATAAATCAGTTAAGGGGAGAGTGCCCAACAAAATTGCAGCTCTGGTTTCTGAATGGGTTTGAGTTCTTAACATGCTTACAGACAAAAGTCCTTGGCCAAAGTTGGCTTTTTTTTTTCTTTCTTTCTCTTTCTTTCTTTCTTTCTTTTTCCTGCTGTTGCCTGTTTGGAGATGATGACTCTTCCTTCACCGCATACTGTAGTCTTCCTTTTTTTTTTTTTTGTATCCCTTTCTTTAAAAAATGCTCTTGTCCTGTTTTCAAATTCCAATTCATGTTTTTGAGGCTTGTGATACAGAGGAAGAGGTGAAGTAATTGGAGCAGACAAACATACTTCTAACATTTGTGAATTAACAGCATGGGCATCCTTGAAACAGCATGTCTGTGTTGATTATGTTCAATGGATTTGTGACTACAGGTAAAGACAGCGGTTGCTTCTGTTTGTCTTTGTCCTAGCTAAAACGTTACCCTTCCATGGAGAAATTATAATTGGCTGTTCACCACTTAAGTCTCAACATCTCTGTGTTATTCTTCTGTAATTCTGTATCTTAAGCCATAATTGATGTTGTTGTTCTTAATTCAATCTGGATTGGTATAGGAACTCAACAAGAAGTGCAAAAAATAAATCCCCAAATGTTTTTCTGTCATACTGATGACCCTGCAAAATGAAATGTGAATCTTTTTGCTTAAGAAATATAATTCTGAATACTTCTAGGAGCCTTTAAAAATAAAGTATGGTTTTGAAAAATAAAACTTCTTGGCTTTGTGTAATTTTCTGGTAAAACCTATTCTGCTTAAGGTAAATCATTTATGTGGGAATACTTTGATTAAACTGTGTCTATAACTTGTGATTTAAATCAGAACTAAATATTTAAGGGCTTGTCTTCATGACAAAACGAACTCAAGTTATGATCAAATGTTGCTTTGTACCTGGCTTTTGATCACACTTTGAGCTCCAGTTCCTGTAAGGAGATGCTTAAACTTGAAGTAGGTCACCTCTCAGTATAGGTTGAAACTCAAGTTCCGCTTCTCTCAGGCTGATCTGTATATGCTGTGCGTAAATTAGAGTATCCTTAATACAGATCCATTCCCTGTGCTTTCCTATTATTCCATCTGTCTATACATGACTGGTCAAACGTAGGAAGCTTACCTCCAGCTATTATAGGTGGTCATCTTTGTATCCTGCCTGCTCACTTATGTATCGGCTGCACTTGTTCAGAGCTGATTGACTCAATGTTCTCCATTAATTTTGGGGTTAGTTTTAGCAATCTGGATGAATTCTTGTGACACTCCTTTGGTGTCTGGTGGGTTTGGGGAGGGAGAGGGGTTAATACTATCTGTTAAGTTAATTGAAGAACTCTTCAGACCTCTCATTTCCCCAAGCTGCCATGTGGACATCCAAGCAGCTAAACTGGTTTGAACAGAAGCGCAGGCGTGGAAAGCAGAATTGCACTGGAGACCAGCAAAGATGGTAACAGTTCCTAATGCGGGATATTAGTAGCTATATGAGGAAGCTACTGTGTTGTTCAGTGTTTGGTCCAAATGTGTACTGGCAGTTCCTTCGGGTTATGTGCTTCCATTGCAGCACAGTAGGGATTATGCATAAAAGCACGGTGGCAGTGATCAGTTTAGCTGATGCTTTGACTCCAAAAGCACTTGAGCTGCCAGTGTAGCTCCGCTGGCCTAGCGTGGCACCTAAAGTGCTGCCTCATGTTTAGATGTGCATTTCTGTTATTTGAGGCAACTCATGCCCTGTTTGGCTTATCCTATGCCATGGATGAGGTGACCTGTTATGCCAGAGGTTATGATGATATATACCCACAGCTTAAGTTTACTGGTAGTAGAGGGTGGTAGCGCCCTACTGACTCACTCAAACTCATAAAACTCATCTAGCCTATCTGTTTCAACTGCTAGCTACCCTTAGGGATTATAGGAAATGTCAGGTCAGATGCTACTCCTCAGACTACTACTTCACAGTGAGCCCTACTAAGCTGTAGTAGTGTCTGTCCCATAACTTAATATTTTTGGAAACTTAAACTTTCTGTTGCTTAAGTGCTCGGCTGTGAGTAAAAGCCTTTTATCAAAGTGGCTTGGTTTGTCTAATGTTGGAAGCTAATAAACAGATGGGCAGGAGCCAGATTGTCTCAAAGTTAGATGAAGGCTGGTGGAACAAGACTGGGCTAAGCAATGATAGGCCAGAAGCAGAATGGGTCAATAAATGAGTGTTAGAAAGCCTGTAAAGATAAAAGTATGTGGTAGAAACAGATACTACTACTGGCCATCTGCAACACGCTTCAGTTTAAAACATGTATCTTTATAAACAACTTTGTTCAAAGCCTTTGCATCGAGCCTGTCCAAGCCTAAGTCCCGTGTATGTCTGTACGCCTCTCTCTTCTGTGAGATGTAGAAGTACACAGTATTATGGGAGCTTGTAGCCACTGCTATCTGAACAGAGTCCTTGACCCAAAGGGACAGGAGGTTGCAGACCTAGCTGGGATGAGTTGGAGCCAGGTCAGCTTTGGCATGTGTCTTCCTGCAGATCCTGATTGGAAGTGTTTAGAGCCTTGTCTGAAAACCCTCGGGGTATCTAGACTGAGGGGTATCAGAGTGCTTTCAGGGTTGTGTGGCAAGCTGGTTGCTGGGATAGTGGAAGAGGCTGTAGAGTTTCCTTTCGTGGGCTGCAGGGCAGTCTGATAGCGGCTGGTGTGAGTATAGGAAGGGACTGGCATCCTCAGGTAGCTGGGTGATTCACTAGGAAAGTGGTAGCAGTATTTTCTTCCGATGTCTAGAGAAAGGTATCTCTCAAACCTCAAACAGCTTTGCAGTGGTGGGCCATAAAGGAGGGAGGGGGAACGGGGGCAGCATCATAAAAACTAACAAACGAAAAAGAATTCTAGATTACCAAAGAGCTGAAATAGAATAAAAAATGGCAGCTTCCAAATGGACGCAGAGACTGGATGCACTGAGTATTACAGGAGTTCAGGAGTGTGATATAGGCAAATGTAAATACAGGAGAAGCAGTAACAGTTTTGAGGTGATACAGAAATGGAGCAGGTCAGATGGTGGCTCTTTGATCTGTGCTACAGAGCAATGAAAAACTTCAAGTGGCTTTGCTTGGGCTAAGATTAGCTGAGTTACATGGTGAACCAGAGCTTAGGTGAAGTTACGTTCTCCTAGTATGGTCCTCCCAAACAGAAACCGTATGTGAGACAAAGCTTCCTTCTCCCCTACGGACTGGAGGTCCTAGTGAATGTAAATATACACCCGGGTCTTTCCTATAAATCTGAATCTTGATGATTAACCAAAACAAGATGTTAAATTATGATCTTGCTAATGTAATGTTATTGCTGTACCTGTCAGATGTACAAATATGCTTTTGAAATGTATATTGTTGATGGATGATCTCAGACGAACTTGAAATCTGCTTGTCAATAAACAAAACATATTTGGATAATGTGTTAGGACTCTTTTTTTTTTTAAATAAGTGGATGACAGTTTTGGCAGCATTGTGGTTGCACACGTTTAAGTACATTAACTTATTTAAAAATAAAACACTGGGTTCTTTTCGTGTACAAACATTTCAGTGGCTACAAAAATACCAATTTCCACAAGCTGTAAATAAGTGTGAAAGAGATAACAAAACAGGGGATAGCAGTTTATCTTAGAATTTCATCCATAAGTACAGCTGCTGAAGTAGTCGGGTTGTTCTGTACAAATTCTACTTACTAAGGCATTCAGAAAGAAAAGATACTGTATTTGTGAACTGTATAGTAAATAACAAGGAGGTGAGGTCTCCATCAGTTAATAGTAAAGGGTATGCCATTATTAAAACCTGTAGTTTCCAAACCATAATGTCCTTTCTTGAGAGGATAAGAAATGAGTGAGTTCACGTTTTGCAGTCAAAAAGAGAAATATCATAGTAGAAAATCAGAGCAGTCAACTTGTAATCACTGCAATGTTTAAAGTAGTAACATTCCTTTTTAGAATGGGCTGAAGGAACAAATTGGAACTTGATGGAAGAATATCAAGGTATTAAATTGAGAGTGAAGTGGCTGAGCTGCTGCCAAATGCACTGCCTCTCATTACAGAAAATTTTCATGCTGAAAGTTAGCCATTAGCATCTAGTCCTCACCTGAAAAACACAAGCTCCAAACATGATCTATGCTTTCCTGTTTCAGAATAGAGGGAAAAAAAAAAAAAAGATCTGACTGGAAAAAAGGGGATTATTGTTAACATAGTTAATGAGGAAAGATGAACACAATTCTAAAAGAAAATGTTTTCTAGCTTTCTGAGGGTTACTCCAAAATGAAAAATTCTTGACAAAAATAAATCTTTAGAAAGCATTTTGAGACACTTTCTCACATGAGGCTATAAAGGAAAAATGTTATAGATTACAAACTAGAGGAAATCAAAATAAAAACTGATAAAGATTATTGTCCTTTCAGGAAAAAAAAAAAAACAGAAGATCACAAAGGTGAATATTAGAACAGATGCTGGGCATTTATCAAGTGTCTGGGAAAGAAAGACACTAAGGCAGCAAAATTTGTGTTTGACAATTATCTAGTCTACACAAAACTAAAGGCTGAAGAATTTTTGGGCTGAAGTAATAAGGCTATTGAACAAGCAGCATGATGGGAAATATAATTTAATAATGGCAAATGCAAGTAATTTAAGCTGAAAAGAGTGTTTCAACTTCTCTGATATGTCACTGGGCCTAAATTAAGTGTGTAGTGAAAACTCGGCAGCGTTCCAGAAGAGCAGTCAGTATCTGTCCAGTTATGTAAAAAGCAAAACAAACTACAAAAAACAAAACCTTAAAAGATGGACATTTAAATATGTTTCTTATTGCAATGCTTTCTTCTGGAATGGCTTGGTGTTCTTGTGGCCTTACAGTTAACCCTGCCCTTGCCACATTGGTGTGATCAAACCACACTCTTTAATGAATTCCAGTGGTCAGCACCTGCAGTCTCACTTGTTCAGCTGTAATAGCTTTAATCAACGATGCGCTGGGAGTTTGATCTAGTTCATCAGCCTTTTCTGAAAGATAAGTTTTGCAACAGATTCAAAAAGTCCTTGTGAAAGAAGTAGTTAAATCTGTCTTACTATGTTTCCACTCTAATGAATTGTCAGTAATTTCTGAGCAAAAAAGGAGTACATTTCTTTTTTCTATTTTTTTGTAAATTGTTTTAGTGTTAGAACAAGGAGAGTAGCAGGGTGTAATAGGTTTCAAGTTCAGCGTTCATCCTTTTTTTTTATTAAGGTAAAATACAGTGCAGAGGCTGTACATTTGACCCTCTTCAGTCATTAACGTCCTCATTCTTTGCCCTGA